TCCTTTTTCCATATTCTCCTGTCATTCACTTCTCCTTTTACCTATGGTTGTCTTATTTATCTATTTTGCAGGGAATCCTCCCTCCACTTGCTTCCTTAAATGTGGGTGTTACCCAGGGTTGCATCTACAATCCTGTGTTTTCTCTATAGTCCCTTCCTACCCTATCCATCCTAAGACTAAAGCTATCATTTTTGCATACATAAGTTCTAAATCTCTATCTCTAATCTCTCTATTCAACTCTAGACACATTTTTTCTGAGGTTAAAGATTAAAATGCAACACATTTGAATCAGACAATGTTGCACATCCCCCAAAACAAAAGTAGATCCTACCCTTAAGTTCCCTGTCTCTGTCTTTAATGTCACCACTTACCTATATTAAGTTTATATTAAGTATTAAGTTTCTCTCTCTTTCATGCCTTTGCCCTCTAAGGCATGCACACCTGAATACATGCATGTGCATGTGCACACATGGCATACACATCCCCAGTTGGCCCCTTTGAACTCTCTCAATATTTAGTTTTTTTGGTCCTGCTGTCCCCATTCCAGTTCAGGTGGCCATCATCCATTCACTTGAACTTATATAATCTTCTCCTTGCTTCTTCCCCTATCTTTGTTTATTTAATAATTTAATAAATATTACTCCACAGGCCAACTCTGTGGACTGTGCTCTGGCCTCTCACTCCAATAGGACCTCCAGTGATACTTCTCAAAATCAGATATGACTCCATAATCCCTCTTGCTTACAAATGTTGGCTCTAACCCAAACCTGTTTGCATGGTCCTTCATGACTTCACTGCCACCTCCTGTGCACACTTGTGTAGCCGCTACTTCTCTGCCCCTTCCTTGGACACCTTCCACTTTTGGCTCCCAGATCCATTCAGCATTCCCTGGCACACCAGACTTTCTGCTCCTGTGCTTATTTAAACAGCTTGCTTTCTCTCTCCTGGGAAAGTTATCTGAATCCCTGGCGGTCGGGGGAGCAGTTACTTTCTTGACAACAAGAATTCCTACTCCATTGCCTTCAGCCAGAACAAGTAGAAATGGTTACTGATAATTTCAGGGCATATAGCCAATTTCTTCTTCTTTTTTTTTTTTTCCAATCAATCCCTTATACACCACAAAAGACCTTAATGACAACCCCTAACCTTGAGCTACCAGTGGGTTCATCCAACTTCTTCAGAACGGGATACTGAAACTGCCTTCAGTAGGACTATCCTGACTCTATTAGAACCCACCTTTGGGGGGCTGGGGACCCACAGACTGGCTTACTGCCTGCCATCACATTGAACTCCTGTGACATTCCAGGCCCTGGGGGTGTAGAGGAACTGGGAGAGATTAAGACTGCTCTTGACCTCCAGAGTCTCACCCCATCAGTTACGCCATGTCAGCTCCTAAGTGCCTGGGTTCATTAAGCAGGCACACCATGAAGTCCTCCTGGCTATTCCACCTCCTGAGTTAGGTCTCTCTCATTTACTTATTCATTCAGTCAACATATACTGAGCACCTACTATGTGCCAGGAACTTTTCTGAGATATAGCAATGCACAACAGACACACACACACACGCACACACACACACACCTGGCTCTCACAGAGTATGTATTTCACGGGTGGGGAAAAAACAAATAAACCAAAGACATAGACATTGAAGGTGCTTACAAAGCAAGGAACCAGGCAGAATATGGAGGAAGAAGGATGATATTTTAAATAAGGTCGTTGGCCTCCCTGAGGAGGAAAATGGCATTTGAAGAAAGATGTAAAGGAAACAGACAGCATCATCACTGTGCCATTTGTACAGTGTTTCAAATCTCTTAGATCCACAATGGCAGTAGGAAAGTGGTGTATTCGCTCTACCAGCAGGAAAAGGAAGGACACAGTGTAGCAGAAGAAAAGCCCGGGACAACAGAAATTATTCCATGTTGAACTGTCCCTGATGGACACTTGAAAACCAGCTTTGGCGGCCGAGCCCTAAGGCTCCCCGGGGCCCCTCTCTGGGGCTGTCAGGCTAATCCCGCCGCCTCCTCCTCCCACCCCGCCCCGCCCTAGGGGGCGTTTGCTCGGGTGAGTAAAGTTCAAACCCGGCTAAAGCGAGCCCTGGGAGGCGCTTTCAACAGAAAAGCTGCGCGTCTGCGGGAGAGAACGCAGGCGGTGACCCCCGGAAACCAGGCGGCGGGCAGAGGCCATAGGGTTGGGGCGCAGGGCGGCTCCCAGCTCCCTGCCGCCGGTGCATCTCAGCACCTGCCCGGGCTCTGGGCCTGCAGCCGGAGATGGACTTCAGTCCTGGACGAGTGCAGAACTTCCCTGAAACAGGCACATTCCTGGGCGCGGTCGGCTGTCCCGGGCGGTGAACAAGGAGCCCCCTTTCCGGCTGTAGCCCACCGGGTTTAGAGGTGGCGGATTAAGTGCGCCTTGGTTCCAAGGCGCCGAAAACACTCTCAAGGATGCTATTTTGCTTGGGCCCGGTTCTCTCCCGCGCCGAGTTGCACAACAAACCATTTAAACATTTCGGCACAAAACCCGATCTATTGTGGGGCAGCACATTAAAAAGTGTTATTCGCTTTGAAGTTTTTGTCTAATGGCTCTAAACTGAAAGAAAATGTTTTCCTATTACTTAATTCAATCATAGCGAAGAGACTTGGTAAAAAGCCCACGGATTTTGCCCCAAAGTGTGACAGAGTTCTCTTTGTGTTTGCTTATCCTCCGCTGTCACACACTTTAATTCGCCTCTCTTTATCTGGCATTCAAAACTTTCTTCAATGACATTCAATAAGGTCCAGAGGCTGGAGGGAGAGGGGGGGTAACTGGTTATTCCCCCCCCCCCATATTCTTTCCCAGTAGCTTTGGCCTTGCTCGTATTCAGGGGCTCTTAACCCCTTCATCCCCGGGAGCACGGGGTGACTCCCAGGAGAGCTCCGCACTGTCCCCTCGCGGGCTCCCAGCTCTGGAGCTCAGCGACTGCCCCATTTACTCCCAGGCCGGGTCTGCCACCCGCTCCTCTCTAAGCCGCCTCAACCCAGCGGGGAGCCCGGCTCGGAGCCTGGTCCCCGCTCTTGCCTTGCTCTCAGCGGCGCAGCTCGGCCCAAATTTCCCAGAGAGCAATTAGAACGGGAATTAGTCTGCATTGATGCGTTCCGGCTGGTTTGTAGGAACCTTGGGACCGAGACCATGGCATGGGGAGGGGGGGCACCCATGCCAAGCAAGCAAGGAAACATTGAACCCCTCCCTACTCCTGATACATCTACACGCCCTTCATGCAGGTTATTTTTACCATTGCCCCTCTCCCTTTATTGAAGCAGGTGGGGTATTTCCCGCCCCTTCCATAACAAATTCAGTTTGCTTTTTTAATCAGTTATAATTTGTTGCTGTTGTAATAGTAAAGATGGCATCAACGATTTTAAAAACCTACGCAGGCGCTTTGGGTCTGGGCAGTCTTAGTCCTGTGCACTGATCTTACCCCCTCCAGAAAGCTTCTCACAATGCCATTCAAGGTTCAGAGCAGGTGACTGCAGCGATTTGGTTCTAATAAAATCGAAAGTAAACGTTTCTGGTGAAAAGGCCCAAAGGAAGTAAATTCGAAATATGTATGCTAATTTCCCATTGTATGATAAAAGCTCCTGAAAGAAACAGCTTTGAGCCCGAGGATGATTTTAAAAGCTGAAGCTGTGTACACACCGCCGGGCTTTGAAGTTGTTTAACCATTGTGCGACCAGAAAGAAGAGAGCGACGGCAGGAGGAAGGAGCTGGGACTCGGGAGAGGGGAGCTCAGTCAGAGTGGGCGAAGGCAGTCCAAGCTGGAAGAACAACTGCCTTTTGCTCCGCTCCGAATTGTGGGAAGGCAATGGTTTTGAGGGCACAAGGGGGGTCTACTGAAGTGTGAGCGAATGGAGAGGGCATCCACAAGATCCGCTCAGGCAGAGACTGCCCATACTTGTCACATTTGATGGGGGTGTGGGATCGCGATGTGCGCGATCTAGGCTTCCACTCCCCATCTCAGTCCGTGGCTCTCAGCGAGTGCCCCCCCTTTCTTTCTCCTATTTTATTTTAGTTTACTTCCATAGCCCTGTTGTTTGAAAGAAAGGGCTGGTTGGCCAGGATCCTCGGAACAAAGACTGGGCGTTGTAGGCAGCACCAAAGTTAGGACCATTTGACAAACTCAGAGGAAACAGAGGGACAGTGATGGAGCTAGCAATGGATGAGGAATTGCGAGCCGTTCCTCTCCCTCCCTAGAAGTGCCTCCCCCACGCAGGAACCCTGTCCTCCTGCTTCCGACACAGGGAGAAAAGAGGGGATTCCACAGGTGGAAATCGGAAGGCAGCTGCAAGGACGCTCGCAGGATGCATAGAGTTGAGCTAGGAGAACTGAGTGGAAGTATCACGCTGGCTGGAGGGGGGCAGGAAGAGATAACAGAAAGAAGGGGACTAGGATCGAGGGGGCCGAGGACCTGCGAGTGTGCACCCATGGGGATCTGGGGAAGCGAGGCAGCGGGGGTGCAAAATCAATAAGACAAATGGACCAATAGCCAATGCAGAGCCAAAGGGGAGTAAGGAATAAAGAGAAAGAAAAGAATATTAAATCGCGGGAGAATGAGAAAATAAACCCGCAAAAGGAAGAGGAGGGGGCGAGGGCGCCTGTTACGGCGTGGGTGGGGTTGACAAGAATAGAGTACATTATGCAGTTCATTTAGTTAACAAGTGAAATAATGAGGAAGCGTGCAGAGTGAATGCCAAGAGAAAAGGCACAAAAACCCTATTGAGAGGCCCCGGCCGCTCCTGGCGTAGCCCATCACATGGCAATAGTCCTATTTAAGCGGCGCCGCCGGCGCCTTTCAGCACCACTAGCGCTGGCCAGCACCCCGCGCTCTTTGGGCGGCGCCCGCGGCAGCAGAGGCGGCCGTTTCAGCCTGGGCCTGGGCTGCGCCTTCAGCCTCCCCAGAGGAGGCAGCTGCAAGCGGCCGCGGCCGGAGGAAGCTCGAGGAGAGCCCGGAGGTCCGGCGAGCGCAAGGGGAGGGCTGGTGGCGGGGCGGCCGCGCGCCGAGGCCATGCCGCGCTCTTTCCTTGTGGACTCTCTGGTGCTGCGCGAAGCAAGCGAGAAGAAGGCGCCCGAGGGCAGTCCGCCGCCGCTCTTTCCCTACGCGGTTCCCCCGCCGCACGCGCTGCACGGTCTCTCTCCCGGCGCTTGCCACGCGCGCAAGGCCGGGCTGCTGTGCGTATGCCCGCTCTGCGTCACGGCCTCACAGCTGCACGGGCCCCCCGGGCCGCCCGCGCTGCCGCTGCTCAAAGCATCCTTCCCGCCCTTCGGCTCTCAGTACTGCCACGCGCCCCTTGGCCGCCAGCACTCGGCCGTGTCGCCCGGGGTCGCTCACAGTCCGGCCGCCGCTGCAGCAGCAGCCGCGCTCTACCAGACTTCCTACCCGCTGCCGGATCCCCGGCAGTTCCACTGCATCTCCGTGGGTAAGAGGGGCCGCTGGTCAGAGGGACAGGGCAGGAGTTATCCAAGGCAGGCTGGAGAGCGAGGGATGGGAAAGAGGGACCCTGGGCATCCTGGGGTGGTGAGTGTCCTGTCAGGGACCTGAGGGGGGCGCTCAGTGTGGTGGGCTGATGGGAAGACCGGGGCAGGAGGTGAAAGATCCTGGTCCTGGAGGGGACGTCAAGGGGTATGTGAGGGCTGAGGTCCAGGGCGCTCCATAAAGGGCTACCAGGGCCAAGTGACTCCTGGAGAATCAGGATCCCGCAGGTTGGCAAGGAGGCGCGGTCACACTGCTGCGGATACAGTTGGGGAGAAGGGGTGTGTGAAAGTCCAAGGTCGGGAATCTAGCCATCACCCAGCATGGAGTTGGGCACACAACGCAGGGGTCTGACCACTTCCCTCTCTGCATCGCCACCCCTTCTAGACAGCAGCTCGAACCAGCTGCCCAGCAGCAAGAGGATGCGGACCGCGTTCACCAGTACGCAGCTGCTGGAGCTGGAGCGCGAATTCGCCTCCAATATGTACCTGTCCCGCCTTCGCCGCATCGAGATCGCAACCTACCTGAATCTGTCCGAGAAGCAGGTGAAGATCTGGTTTCAGAACCGCCGGGTGAAGCACAAGAAGGAGGGCAAGGGCAGCAACCACCGCGGCAGCGCCGGCGGTGCGGCTGCGGGTGCCGGCGGGGGCGCACCGCAAGGCTGCAAGTGCGCGTCGCTCTCCTCAGCCAAGTGCTCAGAGGATGACGACGAATTGCCCATGTCTCCGTCCTCCTCTGGGAAGGACGACCGGGATCTTACGGTCACTCCTTAGGCATTCGTCCCTCTAGGCCGCCCACCCCAAGACCTCCCGGCGCCTGAAAGACTAGTCTTGGGACACAACGCTGGTTCCCAGGAACCCGCTGCCAATCGACTGTCTCTCACGGATTTGGCATGGCTTTGCCAAGACCCCCAGCTCTAGGCAGAGCTGAGAACTTAGCAGAGACTCAAGGATGGTACCCCGGTCCCCAAGGGCGTCCAAAGCGAACTCCAGACTGATCCAACAGCGTCAGCAGTGCAGCACCACGGCCCCGGCGCCATACCGCCCTGTCCAGCGCCTTGCTGGTGGTAGGCGCCTCCTCGCCTGCCCTATGGGCTGGCTCAGGCTTCCTCGCTTCCTCCACTCTTCACCCTGTCAAGTTCAGCCTTTCATTCCTCGGATGCCCTTTTGCTTCCCGTTTTAAAAAATCTCTCTCTCCCAATTCTTTCCTGCAGTTGTTTATCCATGCCCCTCCACAACACACACACACACACACACACACAATTTATGAACTTTTGTTTTCTTTGCCCTTTCCCTTCCCCTCCTCAGGGAGCCTTCTCCAACAGTGAGTTCATTTGTCCCTTGATTAAGCCTTGAGGTCCGGAGTCCCCGAAACTCCTCTCCACGGAGAGTTATCTCCTGTGGTACCATAGTGAGGAAAAGGATTCATTTTGTTTCCGACATGCACTGCATTTCCCCCAAACCCTAGACCCCCGGCTCTCCGCCTCGGGTGACCCCTCCTTTCCCCTCCACCCAGGTCTCGGCCCCGCCCTGGCCTAGCTGTGTAATTGTACGGTTTCTGTAATACCAGAAGATATTTATTTATTTATTTATGTACAAAATTTTAAATAAACTTTTTTTTTCTTAGAAATGCCGGCGCCTGTGAGCCTCAAGACCTCTGCTCTGGACTAGACAGACGCTGAAGTGGTCTGGGCCTCCCTGCTGGGGTTGCGGTTGTGTGTGGGGGAGGGTGTTCTGAGCCCGGCTTCTTACTTTACAACTCAGCCAGCACCCACAGCCCCTCAGAGATCCTGCCTTTCGTTCCAGCCGGTGAGCCTTCCAGTGTCCCCTTATGGCCTGCCCCCACGCGCCCAGGCGCACAGAACAGAGCTGGAAACAGAGGAGGGAACTCTCCTTAGGCTGCACCTTGAGATCCCGACCCTTGCAGTGCCTCTAGTCCGGGATCCAGCCACATCTCCAGCCCTATCCTTTCCCCCGAGAGCGCAAGAAATTTGTTCTTTGCTGCTCTCGCGGATTGATAAGTATAAAAGACAAATTTCTAGTCTTCTGTATGGTGCCGCTCCCTCTCAGAAAGGGCCCCTTGCTTTGTTTTGAAGCAAATTCTGTTAGCTGGGTTCCTGTTCCCGACCATTGCAGGCGAGAATTCCGAGGACTCTGACCCTGGGGAGTCCCCTTGAGGGACTACGCAGAAACTGAGCCTTGTATTTCTGGGACCTCTTGTTCTCACCCCATCTCCCACAGCCCCCTACGACTGGGAATCCACTCCCCCATCCTCCTTTGAGACATATGCGGGGCTTTTTACGCGCTAGAATGGACGTGGAGAAGGAGGTACAAGGATTAAGCCCCAGAGCGCATAACCACGGAAGGGCAGGTATTTCTGCAGCTTAGAGAATCAAACAGCGGATCCAGGTTCTCACTTTCTGAAGACTGTTCTGCGACCTGGGTCTTTTCCCCACACCCCACCCCCGGCAGAAATCCTCCGCTTTCTTACCATACCCTGAGGAGCTCCGGACTCCTTATATCTAGACAAAGCAAACAAACGCGTCTCTTTCTGCTGAGAAGACGCCCCAGTTGAGATGGCTCAACATTTGTGGGACTCATTTCTAAAACCTTTTGCTTTTCCCTTCAAATCAAGCTGACTGCAAAGGTCTCTCTAGTTCCCATAGAAAGTGGGTGGGTTTGTGAACCCATTTTTGGTTATTTCTGGAGAAAGTCTCCTGGGTTGTGCCCCAGATCCCCAGACCAAAGAGAACCGCCCGCCCGCTTCTCTGCCCTCTCCCACCTCCAGCAAACTAAACCTCATTCTCACCCCAGGCTAATTTTCCACCCTTCCAGGAGGGGACAATATGCCAATCCAAACGAAGACCAAATGCCTTAGGGTATATTGTGATTAGAATCCTGTGATTTGTTACTATATGCTTCTGATGCTTTCTGAGCTGTGCGCTGCTGGCGCGCTGCCCTAAGTTTCGGTGTGTGTAGTTATTCGTTCTTCAATTCTAGTGAAACCCACTAGTCTACTGAGATTTGGGGGCTGGCGGCAGCATGACCTATAAGGGAATATATTCATTCATAATTGTTCCAAAAGTCTCCCTTAAAGTCAGGTAGGTCTGGTGGTCACCGAAGGGAGTGTCTTTCTGCACCTAGTACAGGCTCTCAACCGCGCTCCACCAGACTTGCAGTATCAGACCTGCTAGGAAACCGAGTTGGGCAGGAAAGGTGGGAAACCCAGCTAGGAGGGATGTAAAGAGACGGAACACCGCCCTCAACCCTACACACACACCCCTAATTGCCACCTACAACCCGCATCCTTCTGTTTGTCGCCCTGCAAAGGCGTCTCTTCTGTTTCCAGCTTCTCGCAGAAGCTAAAGATGGACCGCGGCGCGCCAGTTCCGCAGGGGTTCACTTTTCCCAGGAAGCGTAAATTTCTTCCTCTTGGCTTCCTCCACCTGGAGCTTCATTTTCCCGCCTTGCTCCCGGAACACAGGCTCTGCAATTTCCAGTGCACTGCCCTAGCGAGCAACGGGAGAAAAACGTAGCCTCCTTGTGGCTCGCGAGCGCCGGTTGTTCGCAAGCCCTGTTGGGAGAGCAGAGCTTTTAAGTGTGCAGCAGTCCCCGCGAGTTAAGGTTCTTGGCATCTCTTAGCCTCCTGGAGGGCAGTGATTCCACTCAAACACTCCTCACACAGATGCTTGTGACCTGAACGCACAAATAATACGGGTTTCGTGGGGGAATCAGTCCGAAGGCCTCGGTACTGGCCAAAGCCAAAAGTCTCGATGCCTGGGTTGGGGCCAGTGTAGGGTGCGACTGCAGACTGGAGATACTTGTCAACTGGAGCTCCTCATTTGGAGTGAAAAAACTCAGCCTTTAAGCCACATTGTTCTGAGCTGGAGTTTGGAGCCTGCAAGGTAAATTGTGACATTAGAATCAAACTGGGTCATCAGGATGAAATTTCCTGTTAAGTACCATATCTACATTTAGACCTCTTAGTTTATTTCAGGAATAAAGTTCTTCTTTTCCCTGGGAAGTTTAGTTGGCTAGGAATTTGGAACCCAGAATCCACATGCCTGGGTTTGCAATGCATTTCCACCATTTACTTACTAGCTAGGTGATCTGCGGTCAACCAAGAGTCCTACCTAAACCAAAGGTTTTTCCTAAACCTCGATTTCTGCACCTGTAGGTTGGGATTATGCTAATAACTGTGTAATATTAAGGGATAGAATTCACATAAAAAGCTAAGCACAATATCTGCCAAGTTTCAATAAACACTAATATTTTAGTTATTGCATTGTAATTGTTACTTTTTAGAGCATAGTTGGTGCTGAATTATTCACTAAATGCTGAAAAATATCCAGTCACATGTAGGCTTAGACCTGAATCTACCTCTGAAGGGCTAGAGAAGAGACACAATTAGAAATATTTCAGGGACTGAGGGAGTTAGTGGATCTGAGAATAAGGAATGACCCCCGCCCCCAGACACTGCTCAGGTGCCAGCAATCATTTAAATCTAAGCAGGGGTCTCTCTTCCAATCTTCATTTAGACCAGCTCCTCCACCCTACACTATTGACATCCTGGGCTGGTTGCTGCTCTGCTGTGGGGGGCATTGCAGAATGCTGAGCAGCAGCCCTGGCTTCTACTCATTAAATGCCAGTAGCACCCTCTCCCAGTTGCCACAACCTAGAATGTCTCCATTGCTTCCAGCTGTAAGGCCACTCAGAACAGGATGATTTCTACTGACATCTGGAGTGACTAGGATTTGACAACCCAGCTCTGAGCATGCCTTCTTTCCTTTCCTTCAGTTATCCTTTCCTTGGACCTTATATATGGGGGGTACCAGGCATGCATTGCAGTGTGGTATAAGAGGAGGAAGGTGAAAGAGAAAGTGATGAGAAAGGGTTCTGAGGGACAGAGCTAGAGGGAGGCTTTATGCTGCAGAGAGAGCGTGGAACTAGCCTGAGGCATGCAGATTGAAAAGGTGAATCAGTCAGAAGCTTGCTGGCTGACCAGTGTTTGCAAACTCACCAGGGCCTTTCCAAGAATATTCTATCCACATGTCTCATGACCTGCAAACAGTTGGCTCCCTCTTTCATAAGCTGGCTCACAAGGCCAATCTTTTGCCTAGAAAATTTCAGGAACGTGAGGTAGCATTACCCCAAATCATTCCCCCCCACCACCATCAATATGGTTCTTCCCGTATTACACACCTTATCTGTTTTGCCCATGCCTAAGAGTCTAAAGCTAGAAATCAATTCCTTTTGATGAAGGTTCTTCATATTTGATTCAAACACAAACACCCCTGAAAATAGTAACCAATGAGCACTGACAGTCATTCACTTTTTAAGAGAAAAGATTCTGGGCAGACAAAGAAGTAAAAAGTCCCTGAGGACTGGGGGATGAGGGGCAGACAAGTGTTGCAAGGGCAAGAAAAAGGCAATGGATCAGAGAGAGTTCTAGAAATCTCTCTGGCATCAACCAATGCCAATTAACTACCCCACTCCTGAATTTAGGGGATGAGTGGGTGAGTTTGCCAGTCACCTTCAGAACCTGTCTTCACCTGCAAAGTAACCAACAGCAAAAACCTCATGAACCCACTTTTCCCCAACGTTGTATGCGGTAAACAACAGGTGAGTTCCTAATACAGTAGTTCAGGTCATCCACAGGGATACATCCTAAGACCCCCAGTGGATGCCTGAAACCAGACAGTACCAAACATACGCAATGTTTTTTTTTTTTTTCTATACATACGTACCTATGACAAAGTTTAATTTATAAATTAGG